TAAATTTTCACATATGATGATGTTAGTATAAAATAAATTTAATTGCAAATAAATAACTAAAAAAAATTGTTGTGTAATTTTTTTTTTTTATTTATGTCACCTTTGGGTACTTGGTGTGCCCGGTACTTGGTACTCCTGTAATTAATAAACCCGGTTATTATTAAAATAGCCTTAAAAAAATAAAATAAATAACGGTCAAAATTTAATAATCCTATTAAAAAAGAATATTTCAGTCAGTCGGTAATAATTTTAAAAGGATTATAAAAGATTTTCATCTACAATTTATTATTATTATTATTATTATTATTATTATTATTATTAATATTATTATTATTATTATTATTATTATTTATTACTTCCGATAAAATTCAAAACGTTTTGTATTAAAAATTAATTACTCTGTATTATAATAATAATAATAACCATATTGAGTTTTTTTTTTTTTTGAAATTTAAAATTACATGATTTTTCTTTTCTCTCTCTCTCTCTCTCTCTCGTAATGGAAAATTTTTTTTTTTCCAAACCGTTTTTTTTTTTTTTTTTAATTAAACACGTTACAAACTTTTTTTTTTTTTGTTAATAAATTTCCTGTATCGTATACAAGTTTTTTAAATTGGTACAAAAATTCAAAATGGCGACGACAAACAATTTAATCGTTAATAAATATATATATATATATATATATATATATATATATATATATATATATATATATATATATATATATATATATACAAATAAATTATTATTAAAAAAAAAAAAAAAGATTTAACGGCTTTCACAATTTTTTTTAAATTTTTTTAAAATTTTTTTTCGGAAGGATTTTGCAATAGAAAAAAAATTCCAACAACTCATCACCATCATCATCATCATTCGACAAACAAAACAAACGTTTGTCCGTGATTATTGTCAGAAGCTCATCAAGTTTTCCAATATATTTAATTATGATGAATATTATTACAAAATAGTTCGCGACCTCTCGAATCCCCCCCAAAAAAAAATTAAATTGATGACTATTATGTACCTGAATTGATGGTATACCTAATCGCAAAACTCACCACAATCGCTAAACAATGAAATATACGAGGGGGAGGGGAGGAGAGGGGGAGGGGAAAATAGTTTGTATAACAGGTACGCACGTTTTTTTTTTAAATGGAACGTTTATTCCATATAAATCATTATTATTTCCTTTTTTCCGTTATAATTTTTTTCTCATAATACCTAAATAGGATAAAATACGTATTCGTACTAATAATGATAATAATAATAATAATAATAATAATAATAATTTATTTAACACATTTATAAAAAATTTTCTCAAACAAAGCGAGAGTATTCATTTACGTAAATAAATAATTAAGTGTAAAAACGTTTTTTTTTTTTTTTTTTTTTTTTAACAAATAATCGCGTGCACGAATTCGGAAAAGGGGGGAGGGAGGGAGGGGGAAAAAACTCCTTTAATGTACATTTTAAAAAAAATTTTTTTTTTTTTTTTCGTTCTTCCTGATCAATATGGTGAAATCTTCGTCACGAAAA